TCCCTCACTCACTTCCCTCACTCACTTCCCTCACTCACTTCCCTCACCTCGCCTCACTTCCCTCACCTCGCCTCACTTCCCTCACCTCGCCTCACTGACCTCACCTCACCTCACCTCACCGCACCGCACTCACTCATCGGCTGGTTGGTGGTTTCAATCAGTGGGACGGTCAGTGGGACGAACCAGTCAGTCAGGACGGCCTCCGACCCTCCCACGTTGATCCAGGTCGCTGGGCACCCAGTGGCATGACCTTTGAGGTGATGAAGACATCCGTCCTCAGCAGTCGAAGAGGGGATGGGTGAGAGGACAGGTTCTCTTCAGATGGAAAACATATAGTATGATCAACTTTTTGGGCACCTCTCGGTGGCAACTTCTAATTGTTTGGAAGGGCGATGAATTCCGGCGATTTTACGCATTTCAAGTGATTGGCTCAGTGTTTGAGCCAATCCTCTCTACTAAGGTTCGTAACTAACCAGTGGAGTCTGCATCCTTCCTTCTCTCAATAAAAATCCGCTCAACAAACATCATCCCAACACCTTGACCCCCACGTGCTTCTTCCGACTCCTCTCGTTTCACTCGTGGTCTGCCACTGTGCCAAGTGGCCGTCGCCTCTCCGTCTCTGCCGCACGGTCAAGGCCTTGTCGAATCTCCTGCGATGACTTAACATGTGAACGTCCCAGTGTCCTCCTCCCCAAAATGGCCACCGTCCGTAGCCCAGTATAGCCCAGTCATGGCCAAGCCAAAAGGAACACCCACCCACCCACCCACCCACCCACCCACCGCGCGTCCTCAAGTGACGAAGATGTTTGATCTCTCTACTCTTCTCAATAAAGCTCACCTACACATCGTTCCGCTCCGCTCGGGCTCTCCAGATAGTTCTCATACATCGCAGCGGTGTCAATGTGTCGACCGCCCAGCGCCACGAAGGTCGCCTCAGATGAGACGTCGCCTGACACTGGGGGTTTAGACATCTCTTTGGTGGGGCACAGGGACTGCTGCCTTGTTTGACTCCGAGCTAAACCTCATGTCTTAAGGACCCCTGTTAGGGCCTACCGGAGCAGGACCCCCAACGCCAGGCCGAAACAGACTTTCGTCCCACAACATACGATACATTTACCTTCTTCTCCTTCTTAGTAATCCGAATCATGCCTCAATTGTCAAAAACCATTGGGCCTACTGGGGCGCACGCCAGGCCTCCCCTTTCTCAACCCCAGTGACCACGGCATCAGCCACGCGCTCCTTAGGCATCGTCCCAGTGCCCAAGGCCACCGTCGGCATGGACCACCCGTCCGGCAACGGCATGTGGGGCCTCAGCAGAAGGTCCGGCTCGGTGGTGAGAGATGGAGAACCACTTGATACCTCCATCCGGGGGTGTAAAACAGGTCGACGTTGAAGGCATAAAACTTTTTGAAGGGTTTCCACATCGTTTGACACAGAAAAACAATGCGAAATCGGTTCGCAAATCGAGAATCCAAAGGAGACATCATTTGACTTTGGTATTCTTTTTGGGGGCACCTTTCCGTTTCTTCACGTTCGATCTGCAACAAACTGGAGCACGGGCGCCGCTGGACCAACCAACTTCCATGGCTCCATGGTATTCATGTGCTGAAATGGTTTCGTTTCTTTCGGGAGTGAGCCAATTCCACGTAGAAGGAACTGATAGGCCTTGCCCGCGCAAACAAAAAGTGAACTAAAACCCATCAAAAACTCCAACTGTTGGACCAACCAACTGCTATACAAAGTGATTCCCTTCAAACCAACACCTCGCCAATCCATATCATGAGATCAGCATCTTCAAACCAAGCCACGTCTCCATCGCCTCCGCCGAATCGTCCTCCTCGTCCTTCTCGCCATCGCCCTCGTCAGCCGCATCGTCGCGCGCGGCCAGGCGCCGCGCCGTACGCACCGCGCGCTGTGCCACCAGCAGGGCGGCCGCCGCGGTGTGGCCGCCCGGCGGCCCCGGCAGCGCGGCGGCGTCGGCGACGAAGAGGCGCCGGAGGCCACGGACCTGCATGGTCGTGGTGGGGGCGAGCGAGGGAAGGAAGGAATGGGTTTGAGTAGGGCGGGAACTGGAGCTTTGAGTGGGTCTGAGAGGGTCGGTGTTTGAATGAGAATAAAGAATGATGGATTTCAAGGGCTGAGTCGAGGTGGCTCGGCATGAAGTCATGAAGCTTCTTGTGTGTGATCAGAGTCCTTGGTCAATTCAGACTCCTTCACCGTGACGTCCATGGAGTTGAATTGACATGCGTGCTCATCGCTTGGTCCGCATGGATGTGAATGCGGTTGTTGGTCCTTGAAAGTAGACACCCAAAGAGATCGCTGGGTGCCGGTGACGTGTCTGGATATATACTTTCCGTTGAAGTTGCCTTGGAATAATTCTCTTGGAGCAATGCCTTTGAAGTAGAGCTCTACAAGAGGAACTGAAACACATCAGTAGTAGTAGTAGTAGAAGTAGTAGTAGCAGTAGCAGCAGTAGCAGTAGTAGTAGTAGTCGTCGTCGTAGTAGTAGTAGTAGTAGCAGGGGTAGTAGTAGTAGTAGTAGTAGTAGTAGTAGTAGTAGTAGTAGTAGTAGT